TTGGAAAAATTTTTGGGCTTGATTTTTCGAAATGGATTGTAATTCTTCACGTACTGTGAGTTTCTCAATGTTTCTTCAAGTTTTGGGCCCAAAAGGATGTGTTTTGTTGGTTTGAATTTGAGTTTTGAATCTTGAACATCAATCTGGAAATTTCAAAAATTGCACCCTCCACTCGAGCGGCAGAATCTGAGCTCAAGCAGCCACCCATATTTTTTTGACCTTCCACTCAAGCGTACAATAAGGGCTCCCAGAAGCTTTACAAACTTTTGCAAACCACTCGAACGGAGACCCTTTTTACTCAGCCTTGCACTCGAGCGACCGTCGAGCAGAAAATTCAAGCAACCAGCACTTTTGCAGACTTTGCAGGCCGCTTGAGCGACCGAAGTTGCGCTCAAGCGGATTGTCCTGTTTTTGAAAATGTGACTAAGTGTTTCAACGTACATTTTGGCATCCTCATTGCATCTTAGGCATTCCTAAGCCTTAATTAAGACACAATAATGAAGATAAAGGCTGAAAACACACTAAGAATAAAATGAAATAAGTTAAGTACTATCCGAGTGTGTGTTTTAATATGTGTATATGTTCTATTTTTGTGTAGGTCAACCGTTTTGTTATCAAAGCTATTTGTGAGTAATAACTTTGTAAAACTATGTTCAATATAAAATAGTTTTTGAACATTACGATATGATATGGGTTGTTTCTGAATGGTACAAAAGGCTATTTTAAGATTACATGAATGATGGTCAAATTCTTTGAAATGTATTTGTGGTATCCTTAGCTAAGGCTCTCGCCCAAGGAAAATAATACTGTGGCTTATGGTCATAAGGCCCTCGCCTGGGGAAAACAATACCGTGGCATATGTTCATATGGCCCTCGCCCAGGAGAAACAATACCACGAACTATGAACCTCAAACATTCCATATTGAGGAAAATTTTCTTTGATGTCTTGCAGTTTTTTGGGAATTGTAGTCAGAAGATGGTGGAGTTCTTGCAAAGTTCAATGGGAATTATTCTTTGAAACCATGCTGAGAGAGTATTGCTACTTTTATCAAAGAGATTGTGGATTGCTACTTTTATCAAAGAGATTGTGGATTGCTACTTTTATCAAAGAGATTGTGGATTGCTACTTTTATCAAAGAGATTGTGGATTGCTACTTTTATCAAAGAGATTGTGGATTGCTACTTTTATCAAAGAGATTGTGGATTGCTACTTTTATCAAAGAGATTGTGGATTGCTACTTTTATCAAAGAGATTGTGGATGAAGAGTTAAAAGGACAGTTCCAATTCTGATGCGCAGCCAACAGCTAAGAAAAGTCTCATTTCTGTGTTGAAGGAAACATCAGTGTTGTCAAGACAACTTTTCTGAACCTATTGAGAAGCGGCAGGATGTTGGACCCGATCACTTCAGTATCTTAGACGCTTTTTATGCTGAGCCACAAAGGTATGCATATATACCTTCCAAAACTTTGTCTGTTTGTTACTAGAGTCAGACAGTCGTCTGGTGGAATTAAGCCCCTCAAGTCGGTAATCTTTTATTTCTTTATGTAATGTGTCTCTTCTAACATATGTATTTTTGAATTTTGATTCTTTGTAGCATATGACAAGGCATATTTGGCTCAATTGAGATCTTCAAAAACACCCATATCAAGATTTTGTTTTACATATTTTCCTTTGTTTTCAATGCAATGTAGAGCTTATATAACATGATAGCTCAACTGTCACATATATATATGTCCTAGTTGGACACCTAGTGCTAGTGCTAGTGGTGCATGAGTCTATATTACATAGAGTTACCATGACTAAAAGGAAAGTTATAATAATGTCAAACAAAGCTACAAAACAAATATTTTTTGATACATGGACATGCAATTTCAAGGAAAAATCAAGATACAACGAAATGATAGTTTTAATTTAACAGTAGTAAATATTGGTAATCCCAAGCACACAATCTTAGCTGGAAACATAACATCCCACATGAACAAATGTTTGATATAATAAAATCTAACCGAAGGAGGAAAGCGACAGTTACTTATCAAGCAATAGATTAAGATTGATGAGGCAACAATAACATAAAGCTGCCACTTGTGTTTTATACTGCCTGTTGAAGTAGCATGTTGTTGTGGTAACCATTTATGGAGGACCTTGGAAGTAACCTTGATCAACAAAAAAATAAACATGCTTTAGTTCACTTACAACCCCCCTTTCAAAAAAGTTCACTTTAAGCTACTAACTCATATTTGCTACATGAATTGATTAGAATAAAAAAAGAAAAAGAAAATAAGAAAATGAAATTGAGATGCTTCAATGGAGAGAAAGATGTATTTTGGTAGGAGTAATGTTATATATACATGAATTTCTCATCAGATTTTCTTACCACTAGTCACAAATTTAGTAAGGGCCATATTAATAAATATAGGCAGAATTCATGTCTCTGTGTATAGTGCTAAGAAATTCGAATAAAAATATTTGTATAGCATTTTCTATTTCAATATGCATATGCATAGGTCAAGAGGGTGTGCTACACACCTTTGGGTTTCATGTTTCAAAACCACTTCCAACTTCCTAGTCTTGGTTCAACCCTTCATTCATGTAAGTATTTTTTATCTTACGCAATTCGCTAATAACACTCCCAATTTCCATTCGATCTCTTGGTGATTCCATTGAACATGCAACCCTAATTTGTAGAATCGAAACCATGCAGTCTTTAATCCACCTTCTTGTGTTATGCTCCAATAGGATGCAAGGATCCACAATCTCCATGACTCGATCAGGCAATGCATTCTTAACGAAGTTATGAAGATTTAGATGATCCTTAAACATATTGTCAGCTGGTTTCTTACCTATAAACATCTCCAGTAAAAGAATCCCAAAGTTGTATACATCCCCTAGTGTGGAAGCCATGTCCTCCATGCCATACTCAGCAAATTGTTTCCAATGTTAGTGTGAAAAATGAGTCTAGTTAGTTGGCATAGTTGTAATCTCAATAGATGCATTTAATAATTTTTTTAATGAAACTCAACAAACTTTTTAATGCTGTGATGTCCTTAATTTTGTTGCCCTCTCAGTTACAATATTTTTGTTTGTATTGGTAACTGACTAAGTGAGACAATGGTTGACAATGACATAGTTTGATTGTATTTTTCTATTGAAGGAAACAAAAATTAGTCTTGCATGAGATATTCCGTCTAGAATCAACTGTACATGTTTCCAAGCGATTAGTAAGTTTTTAGAAAATGCTTTGGTAGCAAACTAGTATATTAATTCTTTCCACTAGTAGATACCACAGACTATTTTGATCAAACTAAAATTTCATACTAAAATTACATAAAGAATATTTATAAGAAAAAAAATAAGAAAAAAAAAAAACAGAGGCGGACCAGAGGATTAACACAAGTTTTCCATAGCCAAGTTTAAGCATGTCCACACCAAATTATGTACACTTCAATGGTAATATTTATACTAAGATTAAGGACGACCACATTAAACAAAGTAAACTTAGTACTTGGTTTGCTAATAGTGAGGAGGTGGAAGCACACATTGGGAGCATTCATAAATGGCATGGAATCTGCATAAAAATAATGATTAAAACTATGTAGGTGCCCACTATTTTGTAAAAGCCATGGTTTGTATGTTTATGCTAAAATGTGTTCATGTGTGTGTATATATATGTATATTATATTTTTCCTATTGCAAGTTCAGTTTTTCTACTCCAAGGAAACTGAAAAGATTTTCTACCTGGAGCAACATAGCCTGTGATTCCCCATATCGCAACTGAATTGCTTTGACCTTGTGCCACATCACTTGAAACGGTATAAATAATTTTTACCAACCCGAAATCTCCAATATGGGCCGTCATCTCATCATCCAAAAGAACATTATTTGGCTTTAGATCACCATGAATAATTGTCAATTCACAACCACAATGAAGATACTCCAGTCCAGAGGCAATATCCATGGAAATGTCCAGCTTCTAGATTAGTGTAAGATTTCTAGGTTCCTCTAGCTGCTCATGGTCTCCAACTCCAACTTGATACAGCCAAGTTCCCAAGTTTCCTTTGGCCATAAATTCATATACCAAAGCTTTGAATTCATTACCATGGAAATCCACACTGGAACAAACGCTCAAAATTTTCAATAGATTTCGGTGCCTTACCGCTCCTAGTGCCTTGCATTCTGACATAAAGCTCTTAAAAGCACCTCTGGTCTAAAGATTGAGCACTTTCACTGCCACAACCATCTGAACTTGATCAAGAATCCCTTTGTAAACTGAAGCATAGCTCCCAACACCAATTAGATTAGCCTCTGAGAATCCATTAGTGGGTTTGAGAATCTCTGCATAAGAAACCCTCAAAAATTGATGTTTGATTGATGGCGTGCTAGAGGTCTTCTTTTTTGAAAGATGACGCCATTGAAGAAATATAAAGAAGCCAACAAACATAGATAAAAATATCACAAGACCAACTACCAGTAGGATCACTTTCATCCTGTGAGATAGCTTGTTGTTCCTTGATTTGGAGGATGGACAAGGAGGAAGGTCTAATTTTGCAATACCTCCACATAGCTCATTATTTCCAACAATTGAAATTGCACTTGAATTTCGAAACACTCCTTGTGTGGGAACTTGTCCATGTAGCATATTAAAAGGAAAATTCAACATATCTAATTGAATCTCACCTAGAAAACTTGGGATCAACCCTGACAAATTATTGTGCGAAAGATCCAATACTCTTAAGCCCCTCAGCATGCTCATACCTTGAGGTATCTCTCCTTCAAATGAATTGTCCTCCAACTGAAGCCATTCAAAGCTCAAACAATTGCTCAGCATGTTTGGTATGGGTCCTGATAATCTATTATAGGATACATCCATGTGTCCAAGATTTGTCAAAGACCCGACTTCTGATGGAAGAGAACCGGTTAGGGCATTGTGATCTAACAAGAGGAATATTGAAATGGAGGAGAGACTCATAATTTCAGGGGGTATTCAACCATTGAGATTATTTTAAGAAAGGGCTAGTTCCAACAAGCTATGACAATTTCCTAAACTCGGAGGTATACTTCCATGGATGATGTTTTCTTCCAACGTGAGAGTAGTCAACAAAGTCAAATTACCAAGTGAAGATGGAAGTTCTGCGAATTTGTTGTGGCCCAAGAACAGAGCTTGCAGTTTATGAAGTCTGCCAATGGAGGATGGAATAGGGCCAGCAAGATTATTTATTGACATAGATAAGGCAGTGAGGTTGAGGTTCCCGATGCCTGAAGGAATGCTTCCTTGTATTTGATTCATCTCCAAATTCATCCAGAAAAGATATGTGGAGGGATTACCTATGGAGTCAGGCAATGAACCTCTGAGAAGATTGCTACCCACTTCAATAACTTGTAGACTGGTGCAATTTGTTAGAGACGAAATAAAAGTGACGTCATCCTGCAACCGATTTTGATAAACAATTATAAATATAAGACCCCAAAGTTTTCCAAGATCTCTTGGCATTGTCCCGCTGAAATCATTCTCAGCGAAGTTTATTGATTCAAGCTCGGAAGCATTTGACAGTGAAGTAGAAAGTGTTCCAGTAAACAAATTGCCGACAAGATCAAGAAACTTGAGATTAGGAAGTGTGGAGCCTATATCATGAGAAATATTTCCTTCAAGTTGGTCTTCGGCTAATGATAACACACTGATGGTGGAGATATTGTAAAGGCCAGACGGAACCTTGCCAGATAGGTTATTCTCAAATAACCAGACATATTTCAGGCGTCGAAGCCTTGCAATTTCCACCGGAATCTCCCCATGCAAATTACATTCAAATAAAGAGATTTGGAAAAGAGATGAGAGGTTTCCAATGAAAGGAGGAATGGTTCTTGAAAGCTTGTTTGTACTCAAGGCTAAAGTTCCAAACCTTGACAAAGAGCCCAACTCAGCTGGGATGTTTCCGGTTAGGTTGGTAAAACAATTGAAATTAGGGCAGAAGGTGAGAAGACAAAAGAAACAAACAAGATAAATTATATATTTTAGTGTAAAAATATGCTAATATCGTTTGGATTGAGCCTAATTGAGGGTTTCTTAAGGCTCATAGTGAGTTCATTTCCAATAATTTAAATTATTTATTTTGTAGGACTGACAACATATATAACTCATAGAAAAAATTAGATTGATTTGATAATTATAACTTTTTATTTTATCACGTTTATCTTGAAAAAAAGAACAAGAAGTAAGTTTTTGAAAATAAACTAACTATTTCTTTTGAAATAAACTCGATAAAATGAAAATATTATAATTATCCTATTAACTTAAAAAATTTATGGATATATTGTGGTTATAGACCAGCTTGAAAGAAGGCAACCAGCACTATCATTTTGGGTAGCTTATATTCACCTTCATTGAGGTATAGAAAAAGTACAATAACTTTCATAAATTTGACATAAATGTATCGAATTTTATTTTAGTAAGATTGAAATGATTGAAATTAATATATGGTATGCAAATATAAGGATAAATAAAGTAAAATATAGTGTTAAAGTAATTAAAACTTTATTTTTTTATATCCAAACATATGCATATAATGAATTACTAATGAAAATGAATCTAAGCATTATGTGAACTAAAACATTAAGAAGTTTAATGTGATTATGTGAAACTTATGAGACTCAATGTATTTTCTTTAAATCTCAAGAGAATTTACTCTATCCTTTTTTCATTCATGCAATTGACAATTACTAATAAAAAAAGACTAAATATTCTGTAAATTAAAACTTCAAGAGGAGTTAATATAATTATAATAAATTTATAGAGCTTAATGTATTCTACCAAATTTAAGGAAAGTTAGGATCCGTTTGGCAAGTAATTAAAATAGTCAAATAAATTATTGAAGAGGCCAAAAAAGTTATGAAAAAAAATTCAAATATATTCTCATTCTCTTTATTTTTTACATTTTGTTTTCCATAAAAAGTCAAAATTATTTCCAAACACTTTAATTTTTCCGATCTTATATTTTAACTAAAAAGCTAAAAAAAATTATTAAAAGTTAATTTCCAAATAAATTCTTAATGTAATTTAATTCGTTTTTACTGGTTCTTTTTATTCATACACCACTACAACAAAAAACACCAACGGTGACTAAAAAAAAAAAATTCGTCGCTGAAAGTGCATGAAATGGCGACTAAAATGGAATTAGTCGCCGAAAAGCAAGGTTTTAGCGACTAAAAGAGTATAGTCGCCGAAAAGCAGGGTTTTAGCGACTAAAATGAAGTTTAGTCGCCGAATATAGGGTTTTTAGCGACTAAACTGTGTTTCGTAGCCAAAAGTCACAGTTTTTGGCTACTAAAATACTTTAGTAGCGAAAAGTTACGGTTTTGGCGACAAAAAACAGGTTTAGTCGCCGATTATAGCAGTTTTGGCGACTAAAAACAATTTAGTCGCTGAAAGTGGGGCTTTTGCCGACGAAAATCCATTTTAGTCGCCCAAAGTAGTGGTTTTGGCGACGAAATTTCTGGATAGTCGCCAAAAGTCCTGATTTTTAATTGAGAACTTGTTTTTTAGCGACAAATAAGTAATTAGTAGCCCAAAATAATACAATTAGCGACTAAAAAATGGTTTTAGTCGCCAAAAGTCGCATACTTTTTTTTTTAGCAAATAATTTATTTTTTTACAAAAATTATATTGAATTAAAAAAATTATATTTATAAATATTATTTTGTATTAATTGCGGTTAATATAGTATATAAATAATATATATTGCATATATGATCATATGATGATATAGTGGTAGAGTGGAGGGAGGGTTGTGCCAAAGGGTTTGGCGTGGGCTGGCGCAAGTTCGAAACCTGCTAGCAGCGGAGGCAAAAAATTTTTTTTCCTGAAAACACTTTCAGCGACTAAAGTGAATGGTCGCCAAAGGTATAAATAATAAAATAAAAAATGAACTATTGGCGACTAAACTGTTAGTCGCCAAAGGTATAAATAATAAAATAAAAATGACTATTGGCGACGAAATCTTTAGTCGCTGAAGACATATATATTGGCGACTAACAGTATTTTAGTCGGCAAAGGCATCCGCGACGATTTATTGGCGACAACACGGGCGACTAAACTTTAGTCGGGAAAAGTGAAATTTTGACATTTGGCGACTAAAATGGGACCTTTGGCGACTAAAACTTTAGTTGCCAAAGGTGTTTTTTTTTGTAGTGTCTTCATAACTTCGTTGAGGAAGCTTTACCTGACAATATGATGGAGATTGTGGATCCCTACATCCTATTGAAGCACAACACAAGTAGTTGGATCAGAGATTGCATGTTTGCCATTATGAGAATTGGGGTTGGATTGGATGTTCAACGGAATTGCCAAGAGATTGAATGGAAATAGAAAGTGTTATTGGCGAAGTGCGTAAGATAAAAAATACATACATGAATGAAGGGTTGAACTAATGCTAGGAAGTTGGAAGAAATTTTGCAACATAAAGGCCAAAGGCGTGTATCATACCCTCTTGACCTATGCCTATGCATATGCAAACCAAAATGAAAAATGTTATACACAAACAAATTTTTTACCTGATCTTTCCACTAGACACAATGACATGAGTTTCACGTATATTTATTAATGTAAACCTCACTAGCTTTGCATCTAGTAATACGAAATTTTGGTGAGAAAGTTGTTTACGTATAGCATAACTCTACCTAAATACATCTTTCCCTCATTTGAAACATCACAATTCAATTTCTCATTTTCTTTTTCTTTCTTTTATGATTATAATCTATTCATGTAGCAAAGATGAGTGAGTGGACATAAGCACTTCTATTTTCTTTTCTTTTTTTCCATTTTGGGCAAGTGAACTAAAGCATGTTTATTTTTGTCTCTTAGAGGTTACATTCAAAGTCCTCCAATAGTGGTTACCTCAACTGTATGCTACTTCAACAGCCAGTAGAATACAAGTGGTGGCTTTACGTCATTGTTGCCTTAGCAATCTTTAATTTGTTGCTTGAATAAGTAACTGTCACTTTTCTCCTTTGATTAGATTGTATTATATCAAACATATGTTCATGTGGGATGTTATGTTTCCAACTAAGACTGTGTGCTTGGGACTACCAATATTTATCCCTGTGAAATTAAAAATATCATTTCATTGTATCTTGACTTTTCCTTAAAATTGGCTTTTAGTCATGGTAACTCTGTAATATAGACTCATGCACTACTAGCACTAGCACTAGGTGTCCCACTAAGAGATATATATATATATATATGTGTGTGTGTGTGAGTGTGACAGCTAAGCTGACATGTTATTCAAGCTCTATTGTTGTGGAAACAAAGGAAAATATATAAAAAAAGAATCTTGATATAGGTGTTAGTCATAAATTTTGAAAAGAATTATGATTTTTTTTTAATTGAAATTAGAATTCCAGAAAAAAACCAAACGGGACGTTAAAATTTCCCACAGTTCCTTCCCTATATTTTCATCCACACAATTGCCAGGGGATTTTAGGGTAGTCCACCATATATTTTTTGTTGTTCAAATTGTGAAATTAAATAAATAGATTTATGAAGAAATCAAATTATATACCAAGAACATATGCTGATAATTACAATTAAATTTCAACAGAACTACACAAAACAATAAAAGGGTAAAGAAACGAAACCGAAACCTGTACGAAAGCAATTTCCTTAAAACAGATTTCGCCACCTCACGGGTCGAGTGCTTGAGGAATCCCAGCGTCTGTCTCCAGGATACGACGGTCAAAACCAGCTACGGCAGAAGCACTTTCTGTCTAACTTAGCGAACAAGAACAGTGGTAGCACTCTCTCAATGTAGGAACTTTCTGGCAAACTGACTTGTAAAAAGGAAGCAAAAAATTTCTATCTTGAAACTTGATAGGAGGGTCTCAATTTATACATGTAAAGGGGAGAGAAGAAGAGCCTCCAACCTTTAAGGCTGGTCATTAAAACACCAAGCATCCATAGCCCCTTTCAAAAAATATGAAAGTTTGGATGCCCAAAGGATTTTCACTCTTTAGCCAAGAAAAAGGATTTAAATACTCTTTAAAATCCTATCCATGAATCTAATATCATGAGGCAATTTTTTATTCAAAACCCAATGGTTTTTGGCTCACTTGGACCTAACACAATAAAAGGTTGGGACCCACTTTTATATTTAATTAAAGTCACCACACTTTAATATTAAATTAAAGTCACCAAAAATCATTTTTTCTAACAATCCCCCACATGAATAAAAATTGACCGAAAGACTCAACAAACGGATATCGTTCAACAATAATGACTCGAAGAGAGAGTACAACGAACTAACCCTGACATCAGAGAAGGTAGCTTTTGGCTTTGAACCTCTCCCAGTGAAAACCTATCGAGTTACTGGCTGATCAGTGAATAAGACATCTTAAACTGCTCTGCCGTTTATGTAAACTGAGACAATAGATCTCACATGGGAATTACTCCTACCACCATTCTGTTCTCACTAGTGTGCCCTGTGTGGCCCTGGACACTAGCCTGGTTCAACGAGTGGTTTCAAAGAATCTTGGCCTGCCCAATTCTTCTAGAAGCGGCCCCATTTCACACTCACATAGGTGACTCTACTTGAGTATCCTGCAATACTCAGCTCAACAGCTTAACACACTAGAGCTATTAAAAGCTCAACTTAACCTCTACACTTGCAGGTATCACTGATAGAAGGAATGGATGGAGGTTTAACCCCCTCAGTGACATACCACCGTTACACGCAATTAGGTTGTCCCATTGAACCTAGATCTTGGGATCTCCAGTCAACTAGGTTGGGTTTCCATTCCGGTAACTTCCAAAGGCCTCAACCCCATTCCTTTTGACGACGTTTCGACTAACACTCGACTTAACCCTTTGGTTAGCAGATCCGCAATGTTGTCCTTAGACTTTACATAGTCTAAAGAGACAACTCCATTCGAGAGTATTTATCGTATGGAATTATGTCTACGACGGATATGTCTAGACTTTCCATTATACATATTACTCTGTGCCCTACCAATTGCAGATTGACAATCACAATGAATTCAAATAGCTGGCACAGGTTTAGACCAACGTGGAATATCTTCAATGAAATGGCGAAGCCATTCTGCTTCTTCCGTTGCTTTATCCAAAGCAATAAACTCTGATTCCATCGTTGATCTAGATATACACGTTTGCTTGGAAGATTTCCAAGACACGGCTGCCCCACCAAGAGTGAACACATATTCACTAGTGGACTTTGAGTCCTTTATATCTGATATCTAATTCGCGTCACTATATCCTTCAAGCACCGCTAGATATCGAGTATAATGCAGCCCATAATCCCGAGTGTAGCGTAAATACTTTAACACCCGCACAATGCCCTTCCAATGAGAAGCATCGGGATTACTTATGTATCTACT